CCCCATTTGCTGGTCTCCGATAGGAGTCCAAGATGGTGGATCCGCGCTGCGTTAGCTGGTAGGGGACCTCTGCATGAATCTCTCCTCGCTCTCCATTCTTTGTCAGTTTTCTCACTCCATCTGGTGCTTGGCTGAGTTCTTTATCTCTTCATTTGATGTTTTAGGGTTTCAGGATTGCTGTATTCTCTGTTTGGCTTAGTTTTTCGGATCTTTGCTATGGAGGGACGGCATGGTGCTTCTGTCTAGAGCGCCATTTTGCCAGAACTCCAGATATTTTTTAAGACTTAGTATTAAATCTAACTCTTCAGTGAATCATTATTTCCCCAGTATAAAGAAATTTCAGAGGAGACTCAAATTCCTTGGCTGTCAACCTCTGTCTTTCTAAAGACATTTATCACTTTTATCTTGTATTGTTAGTTATTCATTAATTATTAAACATGTATTTATTAAGCACTTGCCAAATAAGATGTTAATGACATATCCCAATTGGGTTGTGAGAGTACAAGAGAGAAGGGATTGCATATTCTGGTAAGAATTTAAAACTATTAGAAAACCAGCTAAAAGCTATTGTACTTTTTATTATCACCAGATTCCAGCAATTCTAAACAGTATCAGTGATAAAATACTCCTGCCATCTAAGTATTTTGTTGGTCCAAGCTCTAAACATTGTTGGGTTACCATTGCGTTTCTATTATGTGTATGTAGGGTCCCTGGGTGGAGCGAATGGTTTTCACTCGACTACTAACCTAAGGTTGGCAGTTTGAACCCACCCAGCGGCATTTTGGAAGAAAGGCCTGGCAATCTGCTTTCTGAAAGATTACGGCCAAGAAAACCCTATGGAGCAATGGGTTTGGTTCTGGTTTTTGTACGTGTATGGATATTTCTTTGTATATGTACAGTTAGCCTCCAGCACATATGAACTCAACTATATACATTTGTTCCAAAAGTAAATCCATAGTGATTTTGAATCATTTCAAATTTAAAACAGTGAAACATAGTGCAATTTGTGAGGTGTCATATTTTTGTTTGTTAAGTGCAAATTTAGGTTTGTTCATGATGTATTGTATTGAATTTGAATAAGTTTGGAAATTATTCTTCTTCTTAAATTGTTGATCACTATAAACTTAGAGAAAAATCAAGAAACTGATGGTTAGTACTTATTTTTACAGAATTATTGCTGAAAATTATTCTAGTGTTTAATGGAGGGGGATGTAAAGAATGATCCACTGTGGGTATCACATACAATAGGTACACTCTTAGTGTTAGATACTGTCTTAGTCATCTAGTGCTGCTATAACAGAAATACCACAAGTGGATGGCTTTAACGAAGAGAAATTTATTCTCTCACAGTCCAGTAGGCTACAAATCCAAATTCAGGGCATCAGCTCCAGGGGAAGGCTTTCTCTCTCTGTCGGCTCTGGAGGAGGTCCTCGTCATGCATCAGTCTTCCCTTGGGCTGGGAGCATCTCAGTGCAGTAACCTCAGGTCCAAAGGATATGCTCTGCTCCTGGCACTGCTTTCTTGGTGGTATGAGGTCCCCGTGTCTCTCTGCTTGCTTCTCTCTTTTATATCTCAAAAGAGATTGGCTTAAAAGTAATCTTGTAGACCTCATCAATATAACTGCCTCTAGTCCATCTTATTACATCATAGTGATAGCATTTACAACACATAGGGAAATCACATCAGATGATAACATGGTAGACAATCATACAATACTGGGAATCATGACCTAGCCAAGTTGATACACACATTTTTTGGCGGACACAATTCAGTCCATGACAAAGGCATTAATTTTTTATAGATTAAAAAAATAGGGACTTGGAGAATTAAATAACATTTTGTAGGTCATGGAGCAAAACATTAACAGAGATGGTATTTGAATCCAAGCTTGCCTTATTTACTGTAGCCTTTCTGCATCTTCTCATACAGTAGAGCTAAGTTGCTTGTATTGCACTTATTTCACCATTAGAAAAATGTTTTGTGTTGAAGGACAAAACTGCCTTTCCCCTCAAAAAGAAAATTCAAGGACTAAATATGTATGCTTTGTGTCTTTGTAAACAATAACATCACTAAGACACTACCTGTAACAGCACCAGTTTTAGCTGGTGTCTTAGTCATCTAGTGCTGTTCTAACAGAAATACCACAAGTGGATGGCTTTTAACAAGAGAAATTTATTCTCTCACAGTCTAGTAGGCTACAAGTCCAAATTCAAGGCATCAACTCCAGGAGAAGGCTTTCTTTCTCTGTTGGCTCTGGAGGAAGGTCCTTGTGATGCATCAGTCTTCTCTTGATCTGGGAGCATCTCAGTGCAGGAACCTCAGGTCCAAAGGATGCTCTCTGCTCCCAGCACTGCTTTCTTGGTGGTGTGGGGTTCCATGTGTCTCTGCTCGCTTCTCTCTTTTATATCTCAAGAGCGATTGGATTAAGACACTATCTAATCTTGTAAACCTCATCAGTGTAAACTCATCATAGTGATAGAGTTTACAACACATAAGGAGATCACATATAACCTCATCATAGTGATAGAGTTTACAACACATAAGGAAATCACATTAGATTACACAATCATACAATACCGGCAATCATGACCTAGCCAAGTTGATATATTTTGGGGGGACACAATTCAATCCATGACAGTTGGTGATACAATCATGTTGGTAAATCTTTATTTTTTTTTTTTCCTTTTTGTCAGAATGATGTAGGAGGACAACGCAGTCTGATAAACAAATGGACAACTTTTCTTAAGGCCAGATTGATTTGCTCAATTCCTGGAAGTGATGGGGCAGATACTCATTTTGATGAGCTTCGTAAGTTGCACACTCCTTCTTACTTAACAAAGGCTTACTAAGTAATTCAGTATTTATTTTATTTCAGCCCAAAGTCTTATTATATAGCTCACCACAGGTTGCAGAAATGGTCCTTACTAAGCTTACACACATCAAAGCACATAAAGATGCTCTAGGTCTGGGCACATTGGAATGAAAGCAGATCCTTTCTTTGTAAGAGTCCTCAAAGTCAGTGAAGGAAAGAAAACTCCAGCAAGAGACAGAAAGGTATTAGCTCCGGGACAGCAACGTTCAACCTGTCCATTTTCTATGCAGTCTCTCCCTTTGGAAGGAACCACCCTTTCAGGTGGGAAGAACTTGGGTTCCTTATTCTATGGATGCCCTCTGCTGGATACCACAGGAGGTTTGGTGACCTGTGTCCTTCAGACTCATTAATAAAAAGAAAACTCTGGAACATTAGAAGAGATTCTTCTCTTTCACTTCACCTTCTTATCTCCCTCAAAGCTAATTCTAGACGGATTTTTTTTCTTTTCGGTTGAGTGTAAATTTAGCATCATTCACTTTTATCTCCTTGAATTTGTTTGTGTTTTTGCCATGGAATGTAAAAAAATGATTATCCATAACAGTAAGTGGTTTCAGTAGTATTATATTATACAATAGTAAAAGATATATTTAATATTTATAGATGGCTTCTCATGTATATAATGCACACTCACATCTTAAGCAATCTTTCAAAAGACATTATTTGCACATAATTTAATATCCATACTGCACTAATTACATGTATAGCTTGTAGCTATTTTCATATTGTACCAAAAATGAAATTAAATTGCTAATAAGTTGACACTATTTCAAGACAATGTCATCTTTACACTGGAGGGTAAAAATAGCCTGTGATTTAGGTTGACATTCTGTATGAATTTATGTACTCTTAGTTGGAAAAGTCATGGAGATTGTCAATGAACCATTTCACTTATAGATGATTCAAGTAAACGCCTAAGGGGTTAAATGTTTAAATCAATGTCACACAGCTAATGAGTAAAGCATTTTTTTAACTATAATGTCTTAGGTCATAATATAGTGGCTCTCATTGTTATCTTAATTTTACACACTGTTTAAATAGAGTCTCATAAATATTGCAACGTTCAAGAAAAGAACATTTTTATAATACTGGAAAATAAAAATATATTTTTTCCCATTTATAGAAGATATTTACTTACTCCCCACAAGAGATGAAAGAAATCCTGTAGTATACGGAGTTTTTACTACAACCAGGTATGTTCAGAAAAATATTATTAATCCACCTAGAGAATTTTTATGTGTATGTAAGCCAATATAGTTATATATTATTTTTGTCCCTGGCTTTTAGATAGCATGGAGCCCTAGTGGTACCGTGGTTAAGAGCTATGGCGAGCTATGGCTGCTACCCAAAAGGTTGGCAGTTCGTACCACCAGCTGCTCTTTGGAGACCTACGGGGCTGTTATGCTCTGTCCTGTAGGGTTGCTATGAGTTGAAATCGACTTGACGGCAGTGGGTTTGGTTTTGGGTTTTTTAGATAGCATGTCGTACACCTGTCTGCATTTTACTTTTTTACTTAGTGTTTCACCGAAATATTTTAATACCAATACATGAAAAGTTTTGTTCTTTTTACAGCAGCATAGTATCCTCTGTATTAATTACCATAATTTATTTAACCAGTGCCTTGTACATGGACATTTCTGTTATTTCCAAACTTTTGCTGTTACAAATAATGTTGCAGTGACTAACCTTGTACACGTGCCATTCCCCACACCAGCAAGCATATTTGTGGGATAAATTCCCAGACTAAACTTACTGGGTCAAAAAGTATATGCATACACAATCATAATTAGAAATACTTCCAAACTATCTGTCATAGAGTTTGTACTAAATAAATGCTGCATTGTTATTGTTGGTTTGGATATAGTCATGAGATTATTTTATTTGCACTTCGTCATTACCTCATAAGGATGGGAGTGGATCTTATTATCACCATTTTACAGTTTTACTAATTTAGGCAAAGGAAATTTGCATTACTTGCCCAGAGAAGATAAGCTAATTAGTAAAAATGAGACTCGAACTGAAGATGTGTTCCTAATTTCTGTCCCTTTATCCCTGTCATCTTTCTGCATAACACTGTCCTGTACTTGTCTTTGAGACACTGACTTTCTTAAAAGTTGTACCAACATATGAAGATTTCTCAAAGTATATGTGAGCACTACTCTCTTAGTTTTATTTAATTTGGTAGCTTAAGCTTGATCTTTACTCTTGATACATATCACTGCCTATAACACATTCTTTGAAATACTTTTCACCCTTTTGAACAGCTCTGCTATCAATCTTATCAATGCATATCGATATTGGTATTGGAGGAATTGGAGGTATTGATACTGGTATTAGAGGAATGGTCTCACTGCCTTCTTTTGGATAAATGTTTTAAGTATTTTGCATGTAAATTATAGTTTAACTTTCTTTTTGTTGTCTGAGCCTCATTTAATTCACAATATGTTATGTAAAAACTAAAATGCTCTATTAGGTCAAAATATATTTCAAGTCAGTTTGATTTATTGTAAGATACTGAATGTGAATATTTACATACAAGAGTAAAGAAGATATGCTAAGATGCTCTTATTTTGTACTCCATTTTTTCCATTAATTTGTATTTGAATATAAAAAAGATGCAGGAAGACCAGGTGCCTGTTACTCAAGTTAGGTATCTCAGCCCTAGTTCTCTTGGCACCTTTCCAGTCACAGGACTTTCTTTGAAGTCATTGTGTGTTCCACACACAAGGCACAAATATGTGCCAGGGAAATGTAGCCCCAAGACAGTTTTCTTTTTCGCCCCAAGTTTCTGCCCACCCAGGGTGTAAAGTTACAAGGCAATTCTTTGTTCTTGGTGTGCTTTGTTTTGTTTTTAATGCCTCCCTAAAGACTGAGGTAATGTCGGGATGTATGTCACATTCTTTGTCCAATGAAAGGACATAATTAACCTGTAATAACAGCAATACCATTAAGCATGATTCGTCATTGCTTTCAAATGTCATAGGTAGATCATGCGATGGGAGCGTCACCTCACTTCTTTAGCAGCCAGTTTTCCCCCTACTGCCTGTTTACCATCACCTCCCTATATTTCCCATTAATGTCATTCCAAGACTATTAATAGTTGAAATACTCATACTAGAGAATCATTAGCTAATTTGTATGATGCTGAAATAATATTTCTGAGATCAGAAAGGATGATCTCTTTTTTAAGATCTTAAATCATTGAATATTTTAGATTCAAGGAAAATGATTTTAATTTTCAGGAATAAAACAAAAAAGGAAACATCTGATGACAGTGTGACCACTTGTCATCATTAGTTTGTAATAAATCTGTAGAATTCCTATAGAGCTTTTCTGCTTTTTAATAATGTGGACTCCCATCCTGTGTGATTATGATTAACTTTAAGAATTGGATAAGTTATAATTTATAAACTCAAAGTCAAAGAGGAGCAAAGAAGGTTGTTTCAACATTTTTAAGGTAGTTTAAAATCATATGAGGAACTTATTTAATAGCACGTGTTTATGGACATTCACTCACTTTATAGAAAAAAGATAAGTGAGAGAATTATTATCCACATATCTAAAGGATTTCTTTTTTTTTTGAGAAATAGGTAATATAACTTTTTATTTTCTAAGCATTTTAGAAAGAACTATGTTATAATAGTTTCAATAAAATTCAAGAACATATGGATAAATATAATGCTCTTTCCTTTATAGTATTCCTTATCCATGAATTTTTCTAGATAATTCCAGTTATCCATTGGTGTCAGTTTAGATGTCATCTCCTCCCTAAAAACTTACGTGGCAGCCTTTACTGGTTACTCATCCATGTACCACTGTAGCTTCCTGTCATTACTCATACTTGGCGTAGTTCTTATCACACTTTGTTCAGCATTACTGGCTATAATCTCCTTCAGGGCAGACACATTTAATCTACATTCCTTAGCACATAGTATGTGCTCAATCATTTTTGTCTACAGTATTTGGAACATAGTATGTGCTCAATAAATGTCGGTTGAATGAATCCGTAAGTGATTGAATCCTGTTTTCTTTCAGCTCCATCTTCAAAGGTTCGGCTGTTTGTGTGTATAGCATGGCTGACATCAGGGCTGTTTTTAATGGCCCATATGCTCATAAGGAAAGTGCAGACCATCGTTGGGTGCAATATGATGGAAGAATTCCTTATCCCCGACCTGGCACAGTATGTATCTAGCCTAACTATCAAATTATTATCTTAAGCCTATGTTACAGTTCTAACTCTGCTGTAATGAATTATGCTATTCACTACAGAAACATGTTTACTGATGAGGAATCTCAGGCACAGACAGGCACAGTAATTTGCCCAAGGTCACAGAGCTAATAAATGGTGGAGCTGGGTTTTGAACCCAGATTCTTTGGCTGCAGAGTCCACGCTCCTGGTCCTTATACTATGCTACTGTGTTCAAGAAATTTATGTTAAGTTGTATTTGTTTTCTTCTTCCCTCTAAGATCTCTGATTAACTATCTTTTTTTTTGGATGGGCGTGGTTAAAATTCAGAAAGGAGCCCTACCTGGGGATACTTTTACCCATATGAGTATCCAGGCATTAAATATCATAGGCCATCACATTCTAAACTGTTTCTACATAAGTTTGTTTCAAAAAATAACAACTGAAATCATTCAGACCACTTCATTTTTAATTTCAATTACCTTGTTATTTTAGCAGAAAGGATTTGTGGGTGAAACCATCTACATGAATTGTAGTAAATTGTGTACATATGTAGATATAGAAGTTGTATGCTATAATATTCAGGAATTGGAAATAATTATCAAAATGATTCCATGCCGATGCATCAAGATTCCATTATTTTTCAATTATACTGTAAGCTAAAGATGCTGCAGAGGTGGTCATTAGTTATTGTCACCACTTTCCCTGCCTTTGTCTAAAAGAGCTATAAATTTTACATGAGGCTGAAAGACAACTCACATTTTACAAGACTGTTCTCATAAGTATACAACTTCCAAACTACCAAACTACCAAAGAAATGCTTAATTTTATATATATATATAAATTTGGGAAAGGAAAAACATTACCAGGCATAAGGAAGGGCCATTGAAGAGATATTCTTTATCCTTTCTAAACATCTATATTTCTCATGGAATCCCTGTGATTTTTAAAAAATGTGTTAGCACTTTTGCATCTGATGCTAAGCTTGAGAATTATGCCTTGTAACTAATTTTTGTCTACAGCCCACACTCAGGCCACAGTTAGTAATGGAGACAGAAAGACAAATTTTCCACAGAGGACTCCACTACATACTCTCTTTGATATGTTTGATTGTGTCAGTCTGAGGAACTTAGATAAAAATATCCTAGTTACTGTCAAAATTAATTTAATTCTGTCTTAATTATCTAGTGCTGCTATAACAGAAATACCACAAGTGGATGGCTTTGATAAACAGAAATTTATTCTCTCAGTCTAGGAGCTAGCAGTCCAAATTCATGGCGCTAGCGCCCCGGGAAGCCTTTCTCTCTCTGTCCGTTTTGGGGGAAGGTCCTTGTCATTAATCTTCCCCTGGTCTAGGAGCTTCTCAGCACAGGGACCCCAGGTCCAAAGATGCACTTCACTCCTGGTGCCTCTTTCTTAATGGCATGAGGTTCACCTCCTCTGCTCGCTTCTCTCTCCTTTTTTCTCTTGTAAGATAAAAGGTGATGCAGACCACACCCCAGGGAAACTCCCCTTACATTGGATCAGGGCTATGTCCTGAGTAAGAGTGTTACATCCTACCCTAATCCTCTTTAACATAACCTAATCTTGCTTCATTAACCACAGGCAGAGATTAAGATTTACAACACATAGGAAAATAACATCAGATCCCAAATTGGAGGAAAACCACACAATACTGTGAAACGTGACCTAGCCAAGGTGATACGCATTTTCAGTGGACACAATTCAATCCATAACATTCCACCCTTTGGCCCCCCCAAAATTCATGTCCTTACCACATGTATAACACAGTCGCCCCATCATATCATCCCAAAAGTCTTAAATCAACTCCAAGTCCAAATTCCATCCTGGACAAAATTCTTCTTCATCTGTGAAATCTAGAGTACAAATTATTTGCTTCCAAAGTACAATGGTGGAACAGGCACAAGGCAGACATTTCGATTACAAATAGGAGAAATTGGAGGGCAAGAAAGGATAACAGGCACCAAGTAAGTCAGCAGAACACAATACATTAGCTCTTGAGGCTTGAAAATAACCCTCTGTTCTCGAGACCATTTAGGCAATGGCCTTGCCCTCCAGATTCTGTGTGTTAGCCACACTCTCCAGATTCTGGATGGAGGCCCCTCGGCTCTAGGCTTCAGCTCTGCCTTCCAGGCCCACTTGGATGGCAACTCTGCTCCCTCAGATTTGGGCATACCATTCTCCTAATCCATCCTAGTGGTGACCCTATACCCCCTTGCCACAGCAGGCCCCATTCTTCTGCCCCTTGGGCATGGCAGCTCTGCCCCCATCAGTTTTAGGCAGCTGATCTGGCCCCGTTCCACTGTCACTCATGAAAGGCAGCCCCACACTCAGGAACGGAGTTGGTGAAGATCTAGCACTTTGTAATACCAGAGGTCATGGCTCTAGTCTTTGAGATTGAGGCAACTCTGCTTCCTGTGTTCCTTACCTCTTCAACTTCTGCTTTCTGGTTCCTTGGCATCTCGGCCCCTCAGGCCTCTTGGGCCCGACTGGCATCTGCCCTGCTTGGGCAAGTGTTCCAAAGCTCTTAGCTCTACTGGTAACTGCTTGGAGGTACCCCATTCTTCGAGTAAAACTCAGCTGGAAGGTGCTCAGCTCTCTTGCTTTGTGGGTCAGCAAGCTTAGCTTCACTAATCAGTACCCAGAGCCACTGCACTCTGCCAGGAAGCCTCCTGTGCAAAGGCACTCAGCTCCCTTGCTCTGTGGGTCAGTTCCTGCATTGTCTTGTGCCAGTCTCCTGGTTCTGTTGCCGCCATTTCTGTACTGCTGTTTCTTGCCATCTGTGCTGTCTCTGGTGTTACAGCTCTCCTCACTTCCTTCTGAGTCCTCACCAGAATTGTCTTTGATGTCCATGATTCCACCAACAGTCTCTTCAAGGAAATCTAGGCTTTTACTATTATGTACTTAAAAACTCTTCCAGCCTCTACCCATTACTCAATTCCAAAACAATTTCCACATTGTACATATCTGTTAGAGCAGCATCTCACTCCCAGTGCCAAATTCTGTCTTAATTATCTAGTGCTACCATAACAGAAATACCACAAATGGATGGCTTTAACCAACAGAAATTTATTCTCCCAAAGTCTAGGAGGCTTGAGGTCTGAATTCACGGAGCCAGCTCCTGGGGAAGGCTTTCTCTCTCTGTCGGTTCTGGGGGAAGGTCCTTGTCATCAATCTTCCCCTGGTCTAGGAGCCTCTCAGCATGAGGGCCCTGGGTCCAAAGGACACGCTCTGCTGCCAGCACTTCTTTCTTGGTGGTATGAGGTCCCTCTCCTTTCTGCTTGTTCCTCTCTCCTTTTATCACTTGTAAGATAAAAGGTGATGCAGGCTACTCTCCAGGAAAATCCCCCTTACATCCATTCAGGGCTGTGACCTGAGTAAGGGTGTTGCCAAAAACCCATTGCCATCAAGTCGATTCTGGTGTTGCATCCCACCCTAATCCTCTTTAACATAGCCTAATCTCACCTCATTAACCACAGGCAGAGATTAGAATTTACAACACACAGGAAAATTATATCAGGTCATAAATTGGAAGACAACCACACAATACCAGGAATCATGGCCTAGCCAAGTTGATACACATTTTTGGGAGACACAATTCAATCCATAACAATTTTACCTTATGGTTTTAGTTAAAAGGGGTTTCTTTCTTGTTGTTCTGAACTCAGCTCGGGTTGTATCTATGCTTGTTTATATAAAGAGCAACCACATAAGCCAGTCTAAATTAATTTATGTAAAGCATTAATGATATAATAATAGTATCAATAGTATTAATGCTATTATTATTAAAATAATATTTTTAACATTTGAATTGACCAGCCTTTTCCAATTGGTTTCTTTAAGAATAGTGATGACCACTCCTACTGACCAGTTTCCCAGAACTATCTGGAAAGCTATAGTAGTCAAAGGAAATCAATCATTTCCAAGTAATTAGTCCCTGGGTGGCACAAATGGTTAAGTGCTCAACTACTAGCCCAAAGGCTGGCGGTTTGAATCCACCCAGAGGCACCTCGGAAGGCAGGTTGGTGATCTGCTTCGAGCAGGTCACAGCCTTGAAAACCCTATAAAGCAATTCTACTCTGCACACGTGGGATTACCATGAGTCAAAATCAACTTGACAGCAACTAAAAACAAAGTTCTTTCTATGTTCTCTTTGAAATTACTAGGACCAAATAATGTTCAAATGTATAATCTCTTTACTTCATTGCTTCTTTAGTCATATTTGTTCTTAATGATATTTGTGATTTGCATACATTGCTATTACTGTGGTTTTCTACATTGTATTTTACATTTGGAATGCTGATGTTGAAGTTACGAATATCTTATCTGTTATGAAATTCTGTTACACATATATGTTTTTCACAAACTCCCTTTATATGATAAATACATTAATTTCCATTTTCAATAACCCTGCATTCATAAAATCATTACAATTGTATTTCATGGTATATCAAGTAATTGCATTTATAAAATTCAAAAATGTAAGAACTAGAATGTAAGACAGAGACAACATAGTATATAATTTGCGCTCATTTTACAAGGAGAAAATTTATGCCCATAATAATATTAAATAACTTTCCCAATATATCTCCAAAATCAGAATAATGAAGAGAAAGGCTGGAGTTTTCTGAACAGTCTTCTGTCCTATACACCTGATTGATAAATGTGATAAACTGTTCAATGCCCTAACTAAAATTAATTCCATTTATTTTTACATAATCTCCTGGCATTCTCTCTCATTTTTTTTTTTTAATTTCAGTTTGTTTTACAAGTGAAGCTATGATTCATCCTATTTTCTACAGGCTTCCAATTCAGAAATTTTCGTCAGAAAAAACATTATTGAACACTCATGATCCAGATGCTGTGATAAGCACATATATATTATTTCATTACATTCTTATGACAACATGGTAGGGTATATATTTATTATCCCAATTTTATGGATAAGAAAAAGCCCATCAGGGTTAAGCACA